ACTTACAGAAAATTGAGGAAGATCTTTTAAGATGGCATTTACTCCTTCAGCAACGTAGAGGGAAAGATAGTCTCAGAAAAAAAAGAGGCTTTTAAAGAACCACAGTTGATAATGGGGAAAGAGCTGCACAGGGAAACCTCTGAGGACTGCTGGGCAGAGCTGAGAACCCAGCTGGGGAGGAGATTGTAATTTTTAGTAACATTAGCCTGTGGAGGTCTGAGGTTTTTTTCCAGCTGCATTTGGAAGGCTGGAGGTAGGCTCACAAGAGGTCAACATTTGGATTTATCCAGAGCTGGGTTTTTGCCAGATGGGTTTAACAGAATCCTGAATGGGTAAAGGCAGTTGAAAATACTACAAGAGAGTGGATGAAGTGATGCATTGTGAGGTCTAGGTCTGGGGGCAGAAGTGATTAAAAGAAGGAGGCCAAAAAGGACAGAGGGCAGAGATGGCATAGTTTAATGAGGTTTTAAAACAAAAATTAAAAAACAAAACAAAACAAAACACAAAACCAAGCAAGTGTAACAGGAATAACTGAGAATGATGGCTGAATGAGGGATTCTTGCTCTGAATGAAATTTGAATTTAAGTTTTCAGAGATGAAAGAGTCCAGTGTGTGATTACAAATACAGCTGAAATTAGTGGAGGTGAAGGTCATTGCACATGAGGAATCTGGAGTTGGAGTCAAAAGAGCCAAGGCTCCACTTAACTTCCACAAAACAGCATCTGGAGTATAAGGACTGGTCTTGAGAAAACATCTCCCCCTTGAGTTTTTCTAATGACATGATCTAAGGGGACATTCCCAGCATTCAATATTCTAGAGTATTTGAATAAAGTTCATTTCTTCCACCTCAGATCTGTGTGTTCACTCCCTCCTCCGAATTCTGTCAGTGATCTCTTTCGGGGAAATAGCTAAGTATGAGAACACAGGGCAGATATCCGACTAGGTCTAAGAATTCCCACCTGAGGGAAATTCTGGCGCATGCTGCAACATTGACAAACCCTGAAAACATTGTGGTAAGTGAAATAAGCCAGTCACAAAAAGAAAGATACCGTATGATTCCACTTATTTTTTTTTTAAGATTTTCATTTATTTATTTGAAGAGAGAGAGGGTGGGGAAAGAGAAAACATACCAGTGAGAGGAGGGGCAGAGGGAGAAGTAGGCTCCCCACTGAGCAGGGAGCCCAATGTGGGGCTGGGTCCCAGGACCCAGGATCATGACGTGAGCTGAAGCAGACTTTTAACTGACTGAGCCACCCAGCTGCCCTTGTATGATTCCACTTATACGAGAGACCTAGAGTAGTTAAATTCATGGAGATAGAAAGTAGAATGGTGATTGCCAGGGGCTGGAGGAAGTGGCACCGGGGACTCACTGTTTAATGGGTACAGAGTTCAGTTGTGCAAGAGGAAAAGTGTTCTGGAAATGGATAGTGGTGATGGTTGCACAATGTGAATGTACTTAATGGTTAAAATGCTTAAAAACGCTTAAAAATGGTTAGCATGGGATATGTTATGTGTATTTTATCAGAATAAAAAAGTAACTAGATGCATATATATGGTCACATGATATATAAAGAAGGTGACATTACAGTATCATGAAGAAGGGAGGCTGATGGACCAATTGGATATCTGTGAGGAAAAATATAAATCTTCACCCCTACCTCACACCATACAGAAATATCAATTCCAGATGAACTGCAAATATAAATGTGAAAGCTAAAACAATAATGCTTGTAGGATAAAATGAAGAACCACTCTGTAACCTTAGAGGAGGCAAGGACTACTTAAATAGGGTACAAAAAGCTCTAACCATAAAAGAAAAAAAATCAGAATATGTTAAAATTAAAAATTTCTGATCAACAAAATATACTAATGAGAGAGTGAAAAGGGAAGCCAGAGAATTAGAGAAGATACCTGCAACACACATAACTGAAAAGTGACTTCTTAAGACTATATAAAAAACTCAATAGGTCAGTAAGGAAAGGCGGACAAACCAGTGGAAAAATGAACAAAAGACTAAAACACATCAGCGTTTCCAAAAAACCAACAACAAACAAATGAAAAGGTAGTGGACTTCAATTTGTTACCATAGACCTGCAAATTAAACTACCTTGAGACACTGCTACAAACCATCAGATTAAAAAGACAGAGACAACTAAGTGAGAATATGGAATCATTAGAATTCTCACCCAGGCTGGTGGGAGTGTAAATTGGTACTAACTTTGGAAACTGTTTGGCAATATCCACTAAAGCTGAACCGATGCATGCCCAATGATCCAAAAATTTCCAAAGGAATGCAACATGTGTTCACTAAAAGACATGTACTATAATGCACAGCAGGGCGCTGCTAACTGCCAAAAGAGGGAAACTACTCAAATGTCCATCAGGAGTAAAATGGGTAGGATACTGCAGAACATTCACATAATAGGCTGTTAGACAGCAGTGACAATAAACAATCTGCAATAATTCATTGCAGATAATATTCATTGCAGATAATCCAAAATCCACAATAATTCATCAACATGATGAATCTCACAAAATAATGTTATGCCAAAATATGAAGCCAGTTACAAGAGAGTTCATATTGTATTTTTCCATTTACATAAAGCACACAAAACCAATCTATGGTAAGTCAAGATAGTCATTCCCCTTTGGTTGAAAGAGGGATGGGGAGGCAGGTAGTGCCTGGAAGAGGGCAACAAGGGAACTTCTATGGTGTAACCAAGTGTATTTCAAGGATATTGGTACTGATAAACTTGAGAAACCAGACAAAAGAATAATGAGATAAGAAAGATCTCAAGATGGGGTACCTGGGTGGCTCAGTGGGTTAGGCCTCTGCCTTCAGCTCAGGTCATGATCTCGGGGTCCTGGGATCAAGCCCCACATCAGGCTCTCTGCTTGGTGGGGAGCCTGCTTCCTCCTCTCTCTCTGCCTGCCTCTCTGCCTACTTGTGATCTCTCTCTGTCAAATAAATAAATAAATCTTAAAAAAAAAAAGAAATATCTCAAGATTTTTTGGCCAACAGTTATAGGATCAGTCATCCAGGAGGTTATGAAGGGAATGGAATTATAGTAGGGGGGATTTTAGGTGTTAAAAAGAACATGCTGTGCGTAAGAGATTGTGCTTGGTGAGCAAGTGGCCAACAAATATCTACCAAGGATCTTTTATGTGCCAGGCGGGGTAAAACTTGGTCAAGATAGAGGGGAGTACATACACACACAGTGTTAAGTGTTGAGGGTGGGGGTGAGAAGAGAAGGAATACACAAAAGAAACAAATACAAGAGAGTAGACAGAGAAAGGAGTTCCTGCAATAAATGCTGCAGAATGATGGAAGCCAATCATTATTAAAGTATCTATTTGGGAGATTAGTGGTTATTTACCTGCAAATCCTACCTTGGTTTAAGATCAGGGAATATGGTGAACCAAAAACAACATACATGTAGAAACCCAACTAAAAAATCTGCTTAACCCCACTTTTCTTCAACTTTAGTTGAATGGTCCTTCTTTGCTAAAAATAAACATGACTTGTTGGCAGTTTTAAAAGAAGGGAGATCTGGAAGAGAATCTCTAGGTGGAAACATGCCCTCCCACCCCCGTATCACCTCCCCCCCCAGTCAAAGAATGAAAATTAGATTAAGAAATTGGAGGGTTAGGGGAGCTTGGGTGCCTTCTGCTGGGGCAGTCCCTTAAGCGGCTGCCTTCTGCTGGCGTCATGATCTCAGGGTCCTGGGATCCAGCCCTACATCAGGCTCCCTGCCCAAAGGGAAGTCTGCTTTTCTCTCTCCCTCTGCCTCTCCCCTTGGCTTGTACTCTCTCTCCCTTTCACTCACTCTCTACTCTTTCTCAAATAAATAAAATCGTAAAAACAAACAAAAAAAATGGGTGGGTTGGTTTTCCAGTTTTACTCTTTTCCAACTTTGGTGTCAATCCCAGTCTACAAATTAGAGCAAACATTAAAGGAGATAGAAATCATTTATTTGGTAAGTGCTCACTCTGTTAAACTAGAAGATCATACTGCCATGGTGAGGCAGATATGACACAGATCATTTTTAAAAAGTATATTAAAGGGGCGCCTGGGTGGCTCAGTGGGTTAAAGCCTCTGCCTTCAGCTCAGGTCATGGTCCCAGGGTCCTGGGATCCAGCCTGTATTGGGCTCTCTGCTCAGCGGGAAGCCTGCTTCCCTATCCTCTCTCTCTACCTGCCTCTCTGCCTGCTTGTGATCTCTGTCTGTCAAATAAATAAATAGAATCTTTAAAAAAGAAGTATATTAAATATGTTATGTAATTAAGGAGAAGAAAACCCGGGGAAAAAGGAAGGCGTGACCATTCTTGGGAGAGTTTGGAAAAGCTTCACTGAAGCCTTCACTGACATTTAAGTTGGGCCTTGGAGAATGGAGTAGGAGTATGTCAAGAAGTGGAGTGAGGCCAGAAAGAGCCTAGAGTATTGAGGAACAGCGCAGAAACTCGGGACTGGTTTCAGCACTGGGCCGTGTGTTCCATATACAATGAGAGAAAGAGGAGCTAGGAAGGTAGGCTGGAGACTAGGGAGCAGAGCATCTTCTACAAGAGCCAAGAGCATGATACGTCAGAAGACGAAATGGCACAGAGGTTAGGAGCACTGGCTGTGTTCTAAATCGGGCTCCACCGTTTATTCGCTATGCGATCTGCGCAACAGCCTGGGCCTCAGTGTTAGCGTTTGTAACATGGAAATGATAATCTTTGCCTTATACAGTTGCTAGGAGAATGAAATGACTGAATGTGTATCGATCGTTTAGCACAGGGTCCAGCCCACTCACCGCTAAATGAGAATACATCATCATTGTCATGATTATCAGCCCACCCGCCCCTCCCCGCTACCGCTAAAGAAGCCAAGTTAGTTCGGTTCGGCCGTGCCTACAGGCCACCGCTCCGCCCTCTCAGGCCTTAGACCTCTGTTCAAAGAGAGGGGCCGGGCCAGAGAAGGGGCGGGCGGGCACGGCGGGTAGCGTCCACGCCGCCGCTTACCAGGGCTGGGGTCTCGCTCCTCGTCCTCGGCTGTCCCGCGGGCCTTGAAGCCGGGGGGCAGCGCCGGCCCGATCAGATCCCTCGCCATCCGCAGTGGCGGACACTGCTCAAGCATACAACTCTAACCACGCAGTCAAGTCAAACCAAGAGGCAACCCGGGTCGGAAATGCCGGAAGTTTTCCCGGCGCCTACCGATGACGTAGCAGCCCCTGGTTGGCAGAGTCGCGTAATTCGCGAGAACGGAGGTGACGCCTAAGGCTTGTGCCACATTCGCATGCTGGGTTCCCACCTGGCGGGAGGCATGGCTGAGCCGGCTAGTGATTTCGTGTCTTCTGCAGGGTGGTTGCCGGCATCCGAGCTGACCCCCACTTTGGGGCCTCCGAGCGACACTGCCGCGCAGCGGGACAGCTGGATGCTCTGGGCAATGCTGCCGCCGCCACCACCACCGCCTTCGTCGTCCCCCCCCCGTAGCGGGGTCACAGCCTTCCTCAGAGAAGCAGCCCCCTCAGGAGGCCCAGGCTCTCCCCGAGGCGCCTCCTCCCTTCGACGCCCAAATTCTTCCCGGGGCACAGCCTCCATTCGATGCCCAGTCTCCGCTTGATTCTCAGCCTCACCTAAACGGCCAGCCTTCCTGGAATTTCCAGGCTTCGACATCATGGTATTGGAGACAGTCTCCTGGTGTTTTTCCTGGGCATCAGAACGCTCCAGGTAGGCTCTTATTCCTCTCCTTACCACCCGTTTACTTTTCTTCTCCCCTTCTTCCCTCTCGCACTTTCCCCTTTTCCTCTCTCTACTTCTGATTCTGCCCTGCACTCTTGGAGGCTGTTCATTCATGTCTCATAATTTGTCCGACAATAATGTTTTTCCCCCGCCTATTCAGTCAGTTCGACAGTTATTTGTTGAATTCCAACTATGTACCAGGAACTGGGAACATAGAAGTGAAGGAAACATACAAACATCTCTATCTTTATGGAGCTTAACATTTCCTGGTGGCAGAAGACAGAATAAAGCAGTGTGCATTAGAAGGCAATGAGTGCTACGGAGAGAGACAGCAAAGAAGAATGATAGGTAGAGCAGTTTTAAATATCAGTGCCAGTCATAAAGAAGGTGACATTCGAGCAAAGGGAGGTGAGCGATCAGAGCTGTGGATAATCTGGGGGAATGGGGATGTAAGCAGAATGAACTGCTTGAGGCAGGAGCTGTAGATTGGAGCCGAAGCCCATGTGGCTAGAGATGAAAGAGCCCCTAGATTGGGGAAGAGGGCAGACCTGCTAGGGCCTTGTAGATGTTGGGACTTTGACTTTTTACTCCTGTGATAGGGGTAGTTTAGGGGTGTGACATGATTTGATTTATATTTTAGGATTAATGGGCCACTGATGGGAATTGACTTAAAGGGAAACGAATTAAGAAGCTTTTGCACTTACGCAAGTGAGAGATATTGGCGACTTGGACCAGGGTGGACCTCAGGAGATGATGAGAAGTGTTGGATTCCAGATGTATTTTGAAGGTAGGGTAGGGCCAATACGATCTGCTGAAGGATCAGATACAAGGTGTGAGGTAAAGATGAGAAAAGAATAAAGTTTTTTGCCAAACAAGCAGAAGAATGGAGGTGGAACAGATTTGGAAGGAAGACCAAGAGTTGAGTTTGGAGTATGTCTGTGTCAAATAAAGATATTGAATAGGCTGTTAGTTTGTACTTTCCAGGGGGAGATTTGTAGCTGGAGCTGTGAATTTGGGCATCAGCCTATAGATCGTATTTATTTTATTTTATTTTATTTTTTTAATTTATTTATTTGACAGAGATCACAAGTAGGCAGAGAGGCAGGCAGAGAGAGGAGGAGGCAGGCTCCCTGCTGAGCAGAGAGCCCGATGCGGGACTCGATCCCAGGATGTTGGGATCATGACCTGAGCCGAAGGCAGAGGCTTCAACCCACTGAGCCACCCAGGCGCCCCTATAGATCGTATTTAAAGCCATGAGTTTGTTCACTTAAAACCCTTCTTCAATTCTGCCTGAGATTTAATTTACATTAACTTGAATCCAGATCAGTGTTTGGGTTCCAGCCAAATGCTGGGAATAGGAATGTGCCTAAGACGGATGTGCCTAAGTAAGTCAGACGAGATGAGCTCATAAATATAAATCAACACAGCATGACTGGTGATGGAGGCATATGAAAGGTGATTTCAGAGTGTAGAGGAAGTTGGGGAAAGCTTTTGGAGGAAGTGTCTTGGGAGAGGTGTGAGTACAAGGGGAGTTCTGAGAATTGCACTGTTCTGGTGTGACTGAAGCAAAGTAAGTGGAGGGTATGAAGGGAAGAGTAGGTTGAGGAAATAAACTGAGATCTCCTTAGAGGACTCTGGGAAGCCATTTATAGATTGTCCAGCAGGATTGTGACCAGTGGAGGATTATTTTGTGATGTCAGTGTGCAGGGTCTGTTGGAAGAGAAGGGTTAGGAACTGGAAGACAGTGGGGTAGGCTGTCAGAGTAATTGAGGTGAAAGATAAGGGTTTCAGAGTTGAGTCATGGCAATAAGACAGGAAAGAATTTGAGAGAAAGTATATTTCATAAGGCTCTGTTTGCCTGGTGTAAAATTGATGCTGAAAGCACTATATTGGGATTTTATTGTTTACATTTCTACTATTTGAAATAACTGCAAGGAATTTCATCAGGTTAGAGTGGCCACTCCTTTCTTTACTTTGACACCTAAAGTATATATGGATTTGTAATCTTACCAATTATGTATTCATCTGAAAAATATTTATTTGGTAGACTGTTCTTAATCTTTGTTAATATGTTTGAACTACTATTCTTCTTAGAAGAGGTAGTTTTTGCTCAAGTATTTGTGACATGTTAGGGCAAATAAAAATTTAAAAATTGTGTCGTTGCAAATATTTATTGATTTCTTTTGTTTTTTAGTTAAACATCCTTACTTTCCACGAAAATATGATCCAAAGTTCACTGATGTCCACTTCCCTCCCAGTAGAAAACAGAAAAAAAAGGTATTTTTAAAGATATTCTTGAATGTGACGCTTGGGTCCCTATGTCACTGTTTCATGCCTTATATTTCGGTCATAACGGTCTCAATGTTTTGCATCCATTTTTGACACAGTGAGGCCTTGCTAAAATAGGATCTTAACTTTAAATAAAAACTTTAAGCAAAATCTTTTTGAGAAATAAATGGAGAAATTGTAGAAAAAACATTCAATCCAGTTCAGTATATTTTCATGATAAATATAATTGTGAATTATATTACTAGTAAGTGTAAATGTTATTAAACCTTGCTGAGCTAAAAAAAATGGGAAGGATGGAATTTAGGGAGAAAGAATGGAAATCCAAACTTTTCTTTTATAAAATTGAAAGCATGGAGTTAAGAACAAATTACAATGACATAAACCTTTTATTTTTTATGATCTTTTTCTTTATAACACAGATCTTTTAGGAACAAATATTTCTGTGTTTAAAAAAAGCATTTGCAGGACTTCTGGGTGGCTCAGTTGGTTAAGCGTCTGCCTTTGGCTCAGGTCATGATCACAAGGTTCTGGGATCGAGCCCCGCATTGGGCTCCCTATTTGGCGGAAAACCTGCTTCTCCCTCTCCCTCTGCTTGTGTTCCCTCTCTCGCTGTGTCTTTCTTTGTCAAATAAATAATTAAAATCTTAAAAAAAAAAAAAGCATTTGCAGCAGTTTTTCTTGTGTCAAATTCAATTAAAATTAAATTTAATGTTCATAATTCGTTTATCTTCTATACCTAAAGTAATGTCTGAAATTGTTCAGACAAGGTTTTTTTTGTGTTATCATTGTTATTTATTATTTGTTTATTTTAATTCATTGTAATGCTTCAGTTCTTTTCAGTAGTGGATATTTACCATTTTTATGAAAAATTTATTTTTTAAAATCAGGATCAACTCTTGGTTATGCTTCAGAGACCAAATCTTAAAATAGGCTTCCTTTATTCTTTTTTTTTTTTTTTTTAAGATGTATTTATTTATTTATATTAGAGAGGGGGAGAGAGAACTCACACATAGATGTGCACAGAGGGAAGGGGCAGAGGCAGAGAGAATCTCAAGCTGACTTCCCAGTGAGCACTCAACAGACTGGGGCTCAATCTTAAGACCCTGAGATCATGACCTGAGCTGAAATCAGGAGCCCTGGATGCTTAACCGACTGAGCCACTCACGTGTCCCAGGCTTCTTTTATTCTGATGAGGGTTATAAATCTGGTCTGTTTTAAGGTATATAAATGTCAGGGTGCCTTGCTGGCTCAGTTGGTAGAGCATGTGACTCTTGATCTTGGGATTGTAAGTTTGAGCCCCAAGTTGGGTATAGAGATTACTTAAAATCTTAAAAAAAAAAGTAATGTCATTATTTTAGAATTAGTTGAATAAAGTCTACAGCATGAAATTAGTATCCTTCTTCATTTTGGCATGGAAACTGTGTAGCTAATACTAAGAAAATATTGTGCATGTATAATGTATTTATTAATGTAATCCCGACATTAAACAATGGGAAACCATTTCCTATATAGTCTGTCATGGTGGTTATCTTTTTTTGTTTTATGTTTAAACATAAAAATAGGGGGGCGCCTGGGTGGCTCAGTGGGTTAAAGCCTCTGCCTTCGGCTCAGATCATGATCCCAGAGTCCTGGGATCGAGCCCGACATCAGGCTCTCCGCTCTTGGGGAGCCTGCTTTCTCCTCTCTCTCTCTGCATGCCTCTCTGCCTACTTGTGATCTCTGTCTGTCAAATAAATAAATAAAATCCTTAAAAAAAAAATTAAAGAAAAACAACATAAAAATAGCAAATTTGAAAAAAGAACTGACCTTTACTCAATAATGTTTTTTTCTTTTTGGGTTTTTAAAAAAATGTGATATAGTTGTTTTTCCTATGAGTTAGAATGCTGTTTTTACCGTGAATATTGATTATTAGATCATTTTGACATATGCTGTACTCTTAATTAGATTACCAATTTGAAATCTATTCACAGATTATATTTGCTTTACTTAGATTTAAAATTTCTTTATCATGCCTGGCTTTTCCTAATGTATTTCCAAAAAATAAAATAAAAGAAACAAATATCCCTTCATTAGAAATGTACTCAAAAGTTTCTCCCACATACAGGGGTTATGTGAAAAATCAAAGTACATACCACTGGAAGGATAGTTATATTTTTATTATTGATTAAACTTTTTT